GACGTCGTAGTACTCGTCGTTACTACCTACCAACGTAACTACGTACGTACTAGTACGTACGTTAGTTACGTCGTCGTCGTCGTCTTTTTTCTTCTTTTCTTTTTCTTACTACTACTACCTCTCTCTCTCTCTCTCTCTCTCTCTCTCTCAGTGTCGGTGAATATCTCTCTTTTGCTGATTCTAATGTGATCGGATTTGGTTGAATGCAGTGTGACAAGTCACTGGGTCAGAAGCTTGCAACCCACCTCAACCTTAAACCCAACATGTAATGGACGATTTGCCTAAGTTTTCAGCTGAGTGAGATCAGTATATGTAGAGCGATAAAGGGTTAATAGGACATGGTTTGTCAAGGCAGAAGCTGATGTCTAGTAAAGTTTCAACTACTAAATCTCGGTTTAATAACTTTTGGACTCTCAGTTACTGTACTTTGATGGACTTAGGTTCCTCTAATAAGTTGCTATTTCCCTATCAAAGATGCTGGTGTATTGAAATCATGATTCATTCACTGCTTTTGTGATGTGACGAGGTTTTGTTTATCCATTTGTGCAAGTTTTTTGAGCGTGGAGTATTTGGTTGTTTATGTTTATGTTTATTGGGATCTCTGTGCGTCAGATTGTGTGCCATTTGTAGTTTCAAATTGTCGAGTTCTACAGTCTTGCAGGGTGGGCTCTCTCATCTGATGCATTGGTTTTTGTTATGGGATTGCATCTCGAGGCCTGTGCCCCTGCGTGTTATCCAATTTGCACTTATCTGGCCATATGAATTTTCCCAAAGACCAGGATCTCTCTCTCTCCATCTCTTTGCAGTCTGCATATCTATCTGAATTTTCCCAAGATCAAGATCTCCCTCAGTCTTCGTCCGTTCTCTGATGTCCATCTGAATTTTCCCAAGACCAAGATCTCTCTCAGTCGTTGACGTGCATGGTGTATGCACTCCTGTCTTGGGTCCATTTTGAAGTCAATAATTTCTCTCCCCCAATCTCTCTCTCTCACACACGTGCACCCCTTTAATGTGAATCTCTCTCCGACCCTCTTCTCACCACCCACACATGAAGTCAATCTATGTCAATCTCTATCTATCACATGCATACTGCACCCATTTTTTAAATCTCTCACAGGCATGGCCCCCTTTCCAGAATTTCTCGTCTCTCTCACACGCACACACACATGAAGAATAAAGAGCAAATAGTCCATCTCTTTGGCTCTGTTTCGCCTGTCGGGCCTGTTGTGTGAGCTGAGCACTGATGCCTATGAAGACCATATCAAAGTGTTGTTAGTTATTTCTGATTCAAAACAAGTGTTTTTAGTTTTAGGTGATCTTGAGTTCCATTTTCTCTGCATTTTGGATTTCTGTAGAACCCTCTTCTTGCATCTTTGTTTTTGTTTTCAAGCTTCTTTATTATGAATGTTCCTCTGTTCACCTTTTTATTTTACTATCATTAAGGTGTGGTTTCTGTAAGGGTGCAAACTTAAACAATCCAATTAAAGCGTACCACTAAATTTGATCATAATATATAATTTTGGTGTAAATTTGTTTCAGGATTATCTGAAAATTTATTTTCATATCTAATTATAAAATATTAAACTCCAAAAATGGTTAAAATTGTGTAGATTTATAAACAATGAATATCTTGTAAATGGACGGTCTAGATAATGTGTTGCAAGATGCATTAATTATAGGATTTAAATTTTATTTTTCATATATTCATAAATCTGGATGTTGAGATGATCAATTAGAGGGTGGGTTTTTAAACATTAAAACAATATTTTCCGATGGATTTTTTAGCTACATGTTTAATTCTATATTTTGTGGTTGCAACCTTTAAAGTTTATTATTATTATTGTTATTATTACCGTGAGAACGGAGCCTACCATTGATCCCGGACCCCCTCCCTATGAACTCCTCCATCTCTCTCTCTCCAAAACAATACCACAGTTCTTCTATAATATAGTTCTCCCTCCCTAAAACCGCCCCATAAAAAAAAAATTAAAAAAAAGAAGAAGTCGATATATCGTCTCTAAGAAAAAGAAAAGTGTTTCTTTGTAGCAATATCTTTGAAGTGATATGTGATGATAAGGTGATTTACTCTCTCTCTCTCTCTCTCTCTGTCAAGAAGTGATGTATGATATCTGAAACGTTATGGTGGTTGTTATTTTTAAAAATGATATTGCTTATAGCTCCAAACTTGAAATTCAGTGATCTATGATCTCACGTACCCAACAGTTAGGACCAAAAAGCATCACGGACACCACGGCCGAAGAAATAGCGACCACGTTCTTTGTGTTGTCCTGAAAGTAACACATGCAATAACTGAACCCTAATTCCTCTCAAGGGGCACTTTGGTCATTCCATCATCCAAAATTTCCATCCTTTCTACGGTTTTACCAAACAGGGGCGCCACTTGAACCAACATACTCGAGGCTATTCTCGTCATTTTTCCTCCCCCCTCCCCCCTCCCCCCCACTAACTGATTTTCAAATTCAAAAACCCTAGTAGCAACTGCCTCTCATGGCGGTTATACGGTTTCCCCACTTCTGCAAACTAAACCAGGAAGAAGAAGAGAGCAACAGAGAGAACCAAAGGAGGAGAGGAGAGAGAGAAGAAGAAGAAGAGAGTTAGGAAAGAGGATGAATTCCGGCGAGAAGTTAGAATCTACAGACACCCAAACAATCGAAAGGCAACCAAGCCTGGAAAGCTCATCGCCCTTTGACCCCCACTGCTCACAAAACCGACGAAGGAAGCGCTCGAAACCAGGCCGTCCCCCCTCCAAAACTGGCACCACCCTACCAGAGAGGTCCAATACACAACCCCAAAGTTATAGCGCACAACCGGAGAGCTCCACCACCCCAATTGAGAGCATTGCGACAACCTCCACGCCCCCTACCCGACGCCCAAGTTACCGAAAAACTCCCGCCTTCACGTCCTCTGCCCCCAAAATCACGCGCCCATGCACGGAATGTGGCAAAAGATTTTGGTCATGGAAAGCCTTATTTGGCCATATGAGATGCCACCCTGAAAGACAATGGAGAGGAATAAACCCCCCTCCCCACCTTATAAGAAATCCTCCACCAACACCACCTCCTCCACCACCACCGCTTAGTCTCGAAGAGCAAGATATAGCAAGATGCTTAGTCATGATGTCAAATGATGATGAAAATGAAAATAATGAGTTGTCCCTCTCTCTAAGCCTCGCACCGCCCCCTGAGCCAGTTGACCATAGTCGGTTCGAGTGCTCTAGTTGTAAGCGTGTGTTCGCTTCACATCAGGCGCTAGGAGGGCACCGGGCGAGCCATAAGAATGTGAAAGGGTGTTTTGCGAAGGGCGAAGGGGAAGATACGGAGGAATTGAGAGGAGAGGTGGAGAGGAAGTTGGGCAAAGAGGAAGAGACGGAGAGGAGGAGATTGAGCAAGGAGGAAGAAAGAGAAGAGATGGAGAGGAGGAGGAGGAGGTTGGGTAAGGAGGAAGACAGAGAGGAGATATTTAGGAGCATGGGTAAGGAGGAAGGGAGAGAAAACATGGAGAGGAAGAGGAAGGAAGTAGGGTTAGCTTTGGTTCATCACTGTGATGTTTGCAATAGGGTTTTCTCTACTGATCAGGCATTTGGTGGGCACAAGAGGTGCCATTGGAGTGGGGAGGAGCAACTTCTAGAGAGACAAACTAGTGGGGAGATGGGTTTTGATCTGAATATGCCTGTCCCATTAGAGGAACATGGGTCCAGTTCATATGGTGTGGTTTTGGACCTCAGATTAGGGTTAGAAGAGCCCATGAGAGAGAATTTGGTGGAACCCACTGGAGAGAATTTTAGGTTAGGGATAGAAGATCAGAGAAGAGAGAATTTAGTGCAACCCACTAGAGAGAATTTTAGGTTGGGGTTAGAAAAGGCCAAAAGAGAGAATTTGGTGCAACCCACAAGAGAAAATTTTAGGTTAGGGATAGGAGGGATCAAGAGAGAGAATTTGGGTCAAGAGGAGGCAGGGAAAGATTGGTTGGTTTTGTGACACTACTATTCTTTTTTGCAGCCATTACTGATTCTTTCTTGTGCTTGTAACACTAATTCTTTCACCTCTTAAAAGAAGGAAACCAAATTTACTTCTTACTTCTCTTGTATGATTAAGACCACTCTTTTTTCCTTTAATCTAGATTCAATGAGTGTTTTATGTACTGTAACTTCTTTTTTCTCATTTTAATGGACACAAAAAACAAATATTCTCCTGAAAGGTTTCCCTACTTATGTGCAAGTCCAATGGCTTCTTGTTTGGCTTCCATGGTGAGGGTAGGTATTACAGTAATTTTTCAGTTTCAAGGTCATTCATGTAGAGACAGGGCAGATGTTTATGTTGAAGGGTCAGCGGTCAAGTGCAAGCAGAAATGAAGGGAAGGCGCAAGAGAGGGAACATGTTTTTACTGGTACGGTACGGAAATACCCTTGGATTTCTCATTTCTCATAAATTAATGGAATGCCCGCCCCTCATCTCATCTCGTATGGTACGGTGTGCGCCGAAACAGTCTTCTTCTGTCACCAATCTAGCCCAACAGGGACTAATGCCACACCTCACCAAATACCAATCCAAGCCCAAAAGGGCCTGGGCCTTGGCCTGCCCAAAATGCATTTGAGCAGGGATAACGCAAGCAACGTAATTTGGCAATCTTTATGGGAATTGGTTTTCGACCCAACTGGTTCTAGGATGGTATAATTTCAAAGTGTTTTTTTGGATCCCTTTTAATCTCTATCCCATAAACCTCTATTTCAATGTTTATTTTGTTTTATTTATTTTTAATATTTTTGCATTACCAAGTCAGACCAATTTATATGCGATTGGGATTGCTGATTAGGGATTTTACACGGAATATGGGTGAATTACCCGCCCCAGTGATCCGGGTTTCAAACATTGTTGACACTTGCCTTTTTGGGTTGGAAAAGTATATAATGAGACCATTTACCTTTGCTACACGATGGTCACAATTAATCTTGGTCATTGGATGTGAAATTGGGTGGCCACATTTATTTCATTGACCAAACTCAAAGTTCAAAAGAAATTTTTTCTAAGACATACTCAAACTATCATATTTCATATAGGATGGCTGCAAATAATTGTGACTTCCTTGTACTAAAGATAAATAGTCTCATTGTATACAATCTCAATTGGGTTTACTTAATCAGAGAATTATCATGTTATAACCAGTGTTTTAAAAACAAGAATTGTGGTCGGACTCGAGAACCTGAAAATCTGAGTGAATACTCATGTTATATATAACCAGTGTTCAAAAAACGTGAATTTAGTAGTCAAAATTGAAGTCGGATTGGTGGTTCTGGTTGCGACCATATGATTTGGGGCAATTTGGCTGAGATCGACCAGAACATAGAGATAATTTGAAGTATAGATTAATTTTGGCTTGTTAGCGCGCTTATGACTGTCAAGACAGAAAGCCCCAACATTTATTTGGATTGACACCTCGAATCTGAGATCTGAGCTTAAAAAAAAAAAACAACTTTAGTATTGAATTTTCAATTTGGGGGTTCAAATAAAAAATTTAAGTATATATCTTGTAGATCTATGAAAATTATCTAGTATTTTTCGAGAGAAATGGTTGAAAATTAGGGATAATTAATGAATTGGGGTAACGAGTAAAAAAAGAAGGCGCTCTTTCACCCCAGTAATGCAAGCAGGAAAAATGAGCACCTCGATTTTAGCAGTATTGCCCAATTCACTATAGTGAACCATGAGGTTATGGTTTGTTTCAGACCCATCTAGAACAGATTCTAACTAATTTTAGGGTGTGAGATTATTATCATCATCCGAGTCTTACACCTAACTATTTGGAACCTGTTTGGGTTGAATGAGATGATTCTAAAAATTTTAAAACAAAAGATAAATTGTCTAAACTCTAAGCCTGCAAGGCATAAAAGGGAAAATCTATAGGATAACATGGATGGGTCCAAAGTCATTATCATAGTTTTTTTTCAATTAATCGGAATTGACTACACAAATCCTAATCCGCCATTCTACTCTATTAAAGGCGATTTGAAATACGCTCCCTAAATTCTTCATATAAAAGAATATAAGGCATGCTCTTCCCCACTTGAGAGCTGGTATCTCTTTCGTCCCAAAAATGGCACATAGGTCTTCTTGGTCCAAATAGTTTCCAGGGAGAGAAAAAAGTACACTGAACGAAAAACTCCAAATTCTATAAGTTGCTCATCGTTACCAAACAATTAATCTAAAAAAATAATTTTCGGTTCTAAAAAATATAATATATGCCACCTATACAATGATCTGCCTGCATTACTGAGTCCAAAACAATGAGTCCTTTTTCCTGGTTCAATTTCAGGGGGTTTGTCATCCAGCCAAGAGGATGTGTTTACCAGATTTCGGAGGGTAATAATAGACGCCCTTTAAAGCCCCCAAAATTGAGGACGGTGAACCACTGTAGATGCCTGCCAAAGGGCAGATGGAATGTTTTCCCAGTAGTGTGGTCATAATGCCCATGCAGAGAGAGAGAGCAGCACATACATGTGATCCAAATCAGAGACTGCCCATTTAGTGCAGCCTGGTGCACATGCTAGACAGAGAGAGAGATGGTCAAAACCGGCTCAAAGCACAGGATCTCAATGCCACATTTGATGCCATCATAAGAAACATAGGGAATTTTAGGAACAAAATTTTAGATGCAAGCACATGAGACATTGATATTCAGCCACTGCACTCTATGTGCTAAAGATGGCGGCTCACAATTTGGTAAAATTTTCCTATAGAAATACAATTTCATCCATGTTTCCTTTTCTTGCTCCACACCAAGAGCAAAAAAATCTTTTTTGAGAGAGAGAAAGAGAGAGAGAGTTTGAATCTTTACAACTGAACTCCTTTCTCTTCCCAAGTTCCAGTACCTTCATGAAGCACCTTTTCATGAATAATTGTAAATTCTATCACTACGCGATGGTCTCTGATTGAACCCAAAATTAGGATTCAACTGCTTATTATGGTATCAGCTAGATACAAATGGTGGTGTACAACATGCCCTTTTTGCTCCAAAACGACATGCTTAGAGTGGGAACAGTAAAGGAAACTAACGGATTCTCTCACCCCGGCTTTCCGAACACATTTAGAACCCTCATTCTCTTCATCTCCTTGCCTTCAGAAAAAAGAACAAAGCAAACCCATCTTAGAGCAAGAAAGAAAAGAAGATATGCCTTCACTTTTAGCATTGTTGGAACAAATTTAACAGCAGACTTATTATCCAGTTCTACCTCTTAGAGCAATCCAATACTTCTTAAAAGTTCTGGACAGTAACACAAAAGGAAACCGAATTAATGTGGGGCAATGTGAAGCAAGCCATTACCTTCCTCGAGCATAAGACTCATTACTCTCCTCTCTAACTCCACCGCATGTTTGCTTCTAGCAACTGCCGGTAGGGATCGCAGCCCTGATTTAGAGTGAATTCAAAGAAATGAGTAAATAACAAGAAACAGGTAAACTGAAAAATCAACTAATAGACTAAGAAATAACGAGTATTGGGTATCATTACAGTTCATAAAACCATCACTATCCCATCTAGAAAAAAAAAAACTAAAAAAAAAAAAAAAGGAAAGTTTAACTTAATAGTGTTGTTAGCATGAGAGAACCCCAAAAACCGAACATAGCACCTCTCTCTCTATATATATATATAGAATAGAGACGACCACCTTACTCTCGTTACTAGACAAAGAATACAACACCACACGAACCACCCAACCCCCAAACCCCCAACCCCCGACCCTACCTCTCTCCCACCTCTCCTCCC